TCCACGTTGGGGTGTGTATCAGTGACCTGCTACTTTTTATCACTGACTAGTATTCTACTGTGTGGTTGAGCACAGTTTGTTTATCCATTTCCCAGTTGATGGACATTTGTGTTGTTTCCATCTTTTGTTGTCTCCTTTTTAAACTTCCCGAAAATGCCAGGAAGCAGGTATTATTGTTCCATTTTCCAGGTGAGGAAATTGAGAATCAGAAGTAGCCTGTCCAGGGTTCCCCAGCTTAGATGATGTTTGGAACCAGTCTGTCTTTGTCTCTGGGGTTTTTTTCTGCCCCTTTGCTTTCTGCACAATGTGGCCCCACGTGGATGAGCTTGGAAGACAGAATACATCGATTTCTGTCTATCCATCTCCTTATTTTGTCATCCTTTGTACCCCACTCTCATTTCTCTGTTCCCTGCACCTGCCACATAAACCTATTTTCCCACTTCCTTAGTGTGAGTCAGACCTCAGTTCAAATCCCAGTTCTGCTCCTTCCTCGCTGTGTGACTTTGGGCAAAACACAAAACCTCTCTGAGCATTAATTCACCTATGAAATGGAGATTATCTCTGCATTTTCCTTTGTGAGATCATGCCCGACACTCTTCTCTCTCTCTGTCTCTCTCTTTTCTCTTTGGCCCTTTTATGGTTGATATTCCATGATTGTTTGTTTTCTGTGGCTGGTCATTGAAGGGAGCTGAGCCCTGCTGTTCCTCTTATCCCTGGCTGTTCCTGTCTGCTGTACTGAGGGGCTATCTCTAACAAATTAAAGCAGAATTTCAGGTGGTGAGGCCCAGGGATCTGTATTTTATTTTTAGCTTCTCACAGGAAGGAGAAGCCAGGGTTGAGAACTGTGGGCTCAGAGCGTGAGCTCTGGGGATCAGATAGACTTGGGTTTGGATCCTGTTTCCTTAGTCAAGTCGCTTAACTTCTCAGACCACCAACTCCCTCTCTTATAAACGAGCATCCGCATGGGACCCACCTCACAGGACTGTTGAAAGGCGGAAGTGAGCCCCCACACTGTACACAATCCTTGCAGGGGCTCTTCAAGCCCAGAGGGCTGGGGCGGTGTAGGAGCGGGACCCTGAGCTGGAGCAGCCTGTGCTGGGAGGGACCAGGCAGTGCAGAGTCACGTGGACTCGCTGTCCTTTGCCTCCAGAGTCATAGTGCCCCGATTCCTAGAAGCCCAGTGTCTCAAATTGAGGCCAAACCTTAGAGAGCCTCATAGCCAACACGTCATTGACTGATGGGGCAATTGAAGCCGTAAGAAGGGAAGAGAGTTGCCCAAGGTCACACAGTGAGATGGCATTTCCGGACAAGTTCAGCCAATCAATCAGCAAATCTTTATGGAGCACCTCTACGTGCCAGGCTACATCAGAGAACACAACAGGACAGGGCCCTGCACCCTTGGAGCTCCCATTCCAGCAGGGGACGAAAAGCAATAAATATAATAAGTCATGTAAAGCTTATATTAGAAGGCGATACATGTTATAGAGAAAAGTAAAAGTAGATCACAGATACTGGGTGCCTGTGGGGACTCGGGCAGATTGCAATTTTAAACACGGTGGTCAGGTAGGTCTCATTGAGCAGAGAGTTAAAAAACGCCAGGAGGAAGCGCTCTAGGCAGAGGCAACAGCCAGCGCAAAGGTCCAATAGGAGCACGCCTGTCTGGTTGAACTTAGGAGTCCCTTACCAGACATCCTAGGTACTTGCTGGGAGACCATTTGGTTTTTGGTTAACTAGGGCGATATATCAGCTTGTGTTTAAAATACGGGCTCGGAATTTCCTCCCTCACTTCAGCACTCTATGTCAGGTGCTCTTCTATATTCTAAAGGCATAAAGATGAAGGTGGCAGAGAAATGGCTTTCAGAGGTGCTGCCAGGGAAAGACCAAGAAGGGGGAACAGGTGTGTGTAGGGGCGAGGGGAGGTGATGAGTTGGAGATGGCTGTGTAACATCTGGGGGCATCCATCTCCCAGGTGACACGTGGAGTTGCAGAGCCGAAGAAGTTGGGGATATGTCTGGTGGAGTCAGCAGGACACAGATGGCAGTTATAAACACACCAGATGATGCAATCACCCCGCGACGGTGGGGAGGAGGTTGTGGACAGCGCCCTGGGGAGCACAGCCTGTTAGGGTGGGTGCGGAATATGAAGACATTTTGTTAGCTTCATATCAGCTTGTTCACACAGCTAAAAGTGATCTCACACACCAGCACAATTTTGTAGAATCACAGTATTACACACGAATCTTTTCTTTCATAGTTTTTCAGTGATATTAACTCATTTAAACCTCCAGCAACCCTATGAGGCCAAGAGGCAACTGTTACCCGTTTGCTGGGTGAGAAAGCTGAGGCACACAGAGGTTAAGTCACTTGCCCAAGGTTACACAGCTAGCAAGGGCAGAGGCAGGATTTGGACCGAGCAGCCTGGCTCTGCAGTCTGTGCTCCTGCCCATTACTCTCGCTGCCTCTCCTCACGTCATGGCCCACACACACAGACTCTTGTTCCCAGGAGCTCGCGTGTTCACATTCACGGACATGCAAGGCTTTCTTGCTAATATTTCCCTCTACACGCCACTAGTCCATACACGTGGACTTACGGGGTCTCAGTTTCACTAATAAGCAAATGTCACACACTCAGCCTCGAGTGTCTCAGATTACTCTCTGCTGTAACACTCAGATGGCCTTGTGTACTCAGATCTCATACATACCCATAATATCACCTCGCCTGGGCACTGGCTGCAGGGTGTACACACTGTGTTATATGCTCATGATCTCATATAGTCAAAAGACACTGATATGCATGCCCATAACAGTCTTCTCTACACACGGCCTTGCACAAACATACACTCGCCCAGGCTCTCCAGCACAGTCCCATGCTCTCCGACATTCACATCACTATGCCTGCTCACTGTCATATCCATCTTATCCAGCCACGACCTCGGACAGTCACACCACCTGGCACACTAGGATAACCACACACACACATTTAATCTCATATATGGACAGAGCCCTGCCTGCTCACAATTTGCACTCTTTTATCCCTAATGGTCTTGCATCCTCACTCAACTTTGCCTTTTCTTTTAAGGCCTTTCCACATTTAAGACCTCGAACGCTCTCCTAACCTTATATTACATCCCATGATGACATGCTGGTGAGATCTCAGTCACCCTCTGTGCACACACTGCCTTGCTCATTGATGCTTCTACATGATCCTGCCGCCTTGCACTCTCACACAAATGCAATGTTCATGCTACTGCCAAACTCACTGTCTTCCCCACTCACACTCTGGCACACTCATTCTCTCTTGTGTGATTCTCAATCTGTGCACACTCGTCTAAGTTCATGCTCACAGAGCCTCACCTACTCATACAACGTCACACTAAAAACGGAGTCACTCAACCTTACCCTATTTTGCACACTAAAGCCCTCACGTGTTCCCACAAACAGAAATACTCACACTGCCACGCAAACTCCTTCTGGCTGGTCCACTCATGTCCTGGCACACTCGTTTAACCCCACAAGCTCCCTGGGCCTCACCTGCTCGGGTAACTTCACCCACTGACGCTCCCCGTCACACCACCGCCCAACATCTTACACGCTTGTGACTTTGCTGAGTTCGCGCCAGTGAAAATATTCACACCACTGCATGTGTTTGTTCTTGCACACTCACGCAGCCTCACACTCTCGGAGCCTCGTGAGCTTCGGCAACCCCGCACTCCGGGCCCGCGATGGCGAGGTCCACTCCCGCCCCGGCACCCCTGGGCCCCACCCGC